CTTCTGAGGAAACGCCATATTGTTTTCCAGAGAGGTTGGACCATTTTGCAATCCCACCAGCAATGCAAGAGTGTCCCAGTCTCTCCACATCCCCGTCAGCATTTATTGTCTTCTCCATTTTTCATCTTTGCTGTTATTGTTGGTGTGAGATGATATCTCATTGGTGTTTTGATTTTCAAGCCATGGTATTTTCAATAACCTCACATGCCGTGTCCGACAATGGCTATTTCCCGTGACCTGCACGAAGAGATTAAACCCGAGTAAGGGTGATGGGAGATTAGAATAAAAGGAAGACACAAGACACAAAAGAATTAAGTAAAAGTTGGGACCAGGTTGGACACAGCACTCTGATGGAGATACTGTGACGCAGACCAAGTTAAGCACGTTTATTTTATACACTTATCTAAGGAGCTCTGGTAGCATTGTGGTTACGAATCGGGCTGCGAACCTCAGGGTCAGCAGTTCGAAACTACCAGCTGTTCCGTGGGAGAAAGATGAGGCATTCTGCTCCCATAAAGATTTACAGCCTCGGAAACCCTGAACAGTGTCGCTATGAGTCAGAACCAGCTCCACGGCACATAACAACAACAACACCAACAACAAATCAAAGGAGGTGCTGGGGATAGGGAAAAGAGTACAAAAAATCTGGTGGTGTTGATGCAAGCAGTAAGCGGGACTTTATCAGAAAAATGTAACTTGTAGTTGCTAAGGAAACAGAAATAGAGCAGCTAGAGGCCATGGCTGTGTATAAGGAAGGACTTTTCAAATTCCTTGTTCCCTGAGGCAGGCTTTGCAAGTTCCTCCGGGGGCAGCCTGACCTGGGAGCAGCCCGATTTTCTGGACCACAACGGTTCAGTTGCAATCCTTCGGTTAAACTACCCCCCAATTCTTAGACTTTCGGTTTAGTTGCTCCCAACATTCATATGCATGTGAAACTTGGACAATGAATAAAGAAGACCTTAGAAGAATTGATGCATTTGAGTTATGGTGTTGGAGGAGAATATTGAGAGTACCATGGACTGACATAAGAACAAACTAATCCATGTTGGAAGAACCAGAATGCTCCTTAGAAGCCAGGTTGGCCAGACTTTGCCTCTCAAACTTCAGACATATTATCAGGAGGGACTAGTCCCTGGAGAAGGATATCAATGTTTGGTAAAGTAGAGGGGTCAGAGAAAAAGAGGAAGACCCCCAACCAGATGGATTGGCACAGTGGCTGCAGCCATGGGCTCAAGCATAGTTACGATTGTAGATTGGTTCAGGACCAGGCAGTGTTTCCTTCCTGTTGTGCATAATATCACTATGAGTCGGTACCGAATGGAGGACACCTGGTAACAATAATTAACAATTGCTGACTGGCGAGCCTGAGCATCTTTTCATGTATTTGGTGGTATTTCTCGTTCTTTTCTTTTGGACTGTGATCTATGCAATGCGTGTTTTGCATTTACACTACATTTTACTTGGATTAGCCTCGTATCAAATGATCAATCGTCACATACAGCAAATAGCTAACATATTGGATAGCAAATGTTTAGATCCTATGCTTTTACTGTAAAAACCCTGACTCATCAGTCGTATAACATTAATCCTAAAAGATGGTCTGTGGAAAAAAAACAAAACGGTAATCCCTGGTCACATTTCCTGAGTATTTACAGTGCTTATTAATAGACTGAAACCTTTTAAACTTTGGTTAAAGTAACTTTCCCAAGTTTTGACTCCTCCCATGAACCTTCCGTGGATACACTTGAGAACACTTTGTAATTGAAAGAGGGAAAGAATGCCAGGGAGTCTTCTCTGACTCAGCCTTAGTTTTTCAAACTTTTACGTGAGGGATGCAGTTTGCTTTGAGGAGCAGATTAAATATGTACATTCACAAGCCATAGCTCAGAGACAGATTAGGGCTGGAAACCCTTCAGGGAAATACTGGCTCAAACTGCCTCTGCTAAAATCCCAAAGTTTCTACCAAAGGACAGCTTTATTAGTAAAGTGCCCTATTGGTTAAACAAGGAAAACTGTGTTAAAACTAACCCATGTTGCTGTTGAGTCGGTTCCGACCCATGGTGACCCTGTATAGGGTTTCCAAGGAGCAGTTGGTGAGCTAGAACAGCCGCCTTTGCAGTCCAGTGCCTTAACCCACAGCGCCACACCAGGAATCGTTCAGCTTAATTAGTAAAGAATGTCTATCTTGAGTATTATGCTCTTTTAAGAATTGTCTATAATGGAGACTGCAAAGCCATTGGAACTGCAAAGTTGGCAGTTCAAGCTTACCAGCTGCTCCTTGGAAACCCTATACAGGGTTGCTATGGGTTGGGATTGACTCAACGGCACTTAACAACAACAACAACATACTGGAGTCTTGGTGTGGCGCTGCGAGTTAATGCGCTGGACCGCAAGATCGGTGTGAACCACAAAGTCAGAGGTTCAAGCTCACTAGCCACCCTTTGCAAACCCTAGACAGGGTCACTAAGAGTCAGAATTGACTGCACGGCACTTAACAACAACAACAAATAGTGTCAGGAAAATGGATCTGATCTGTAAAAAGCCACCGAATTCACAGAAACTAAAAAGAAAAAAAAAAAAAATTCTATGGGATCAAATTGACCGCAATAAATGGAAAGATCCAGTGGAAACCACGGAGGGCAGTAAATCTGTATCAGCGGAAGAGAAGGAGTAAATTGTATGAGAGGGGGTAAGACTAGACTAGTTGCACAACTTGAATGTAATCAATGCCTCTGAAACTGTTGAGCGAGTCTATGCTCCGCTGTGAATATTAACAGAACAAAAATTAAAACTGGGTTCTGCTCCAGGATTTCTTGTGGCCTCAGTTTTATCCTGCAAATGAATTCGGTCAACTACGTCTTGTCAAGGACTTCATTCTTCTTAGATCAACTATCAACACTCTTGGAAGCAGCAGTCAAGAGATCAGACGACGTATTGCACTAGGCAAATCTGCTGCACAGGAACTTTTTAAAGTGTTGAAGAGCAGAGATGTCAGCTTGAGGACTAAGATGCGCCTGACCCAGGCCATGGTGTTTTCAATAGCCTCATATGGATGCGAAAGCTGGACAGTGAATAAGGAGGATCGTAGAAGAATTGATGCCTTTGAGTTGTGGTGTTGGAGGAGAATACTGAAAGTGCCATGGACTGCCAAAAGAACCAATAGATCTGTTTTGGAAGAAGTGCAGCCAGAGTGCTCCTTGGAGGCCAAGATGGCTAAGCTTTGTCTCTCATACTTTGGACATATTGTCCAGAGAGAACAGTCGCTGGAGAAGGATGTCATGCTGGGTAAGGTGGAGGGTCAGAGAAAAAGAGGAAGACCCCCAACGAGAGATGGATCAGCCAGGTGGCATCATTGATGGCATCGAGTGTGGCAGCGGTAGTGAGGTTGGCCCAGGATCGGACATTGTTTCGTTCTGCTGTGCATGGGGTCGCTATGAGTCGGTTTCGACTCGATGGCACCTGACAACAACAACAACGTCTTGAGCACGTAAATCTGCAGACAAGTCTTGCGGGTTGTTGTTGTTGTTAAGTGCCATCGAGTCGGGTCAGTCTTGCGGGTAGGAGTTCCTAATATTTTGGCACCCACACGCCAGGCCTTTCTTTCGCTGGGGTAAGCATTTCTCCACAGTCTGGGGAAGTAGGGGCAACTCCCATTCAGCAGAAAAATTGCAGAAAAGGTTCAAGAAGGACTGAGTGAGGAGCGCTGGTAGTGTCTTGTAGATGCCAAAAAAAAGAGCCGCCAAGGCCCCTCTAGGCGCCGGAAGCCGGCTTTTCCGCCTCCAGCCCTCCCGACAGCCACCGCGGCGGAGGGGGACGCCGGAAAATCGTCAGGCCGCCGGCTAGACTACGCTTCCCGTGAGGCCCCATGGCGCCGGGCGGTGTGTGCGCAGGCGCGCGGCGTGCGTGCGGCGTCAGCGGTTCTAGAACGTTGCTGTGGTAGCGCCCGGGCGCCATGTTAGGACGAAGGGGAAGGAGGCGAAGCGCGTAAAGCGGCCGAGCGGGAGCGGGGTCGGAGCGTGGCCGCGGTAGCCCCCTCCCTCCCGCCTCAGTGGATCATGCCCAGGGCGGCAGCGGCGGCGCTTGCGGGGGGGCAGTGACTGGGCGGCGCCGCGCCAGAGACGATGCCGTTGTAAGTGCTCCGGGTTCTGGTCGCCGTCGCGCGCCGGCGGTCTTGGGTGAGGGGAAGGGAGGGGGCTGCGTCGATCCTCGGGGGCCGCCGGTCGAGGTGCTCGGCGCCTCAGGCCCGCGCCGCCCCCAGCTCGACCCCGCTCGGCGGCGGCCGGTTCTTTCTGTCGAGGCCGCGCCGGAAACAATGCCCGGCGGCCCGGGCTGTTCCGAGGGCCCCACGGAGCCGCGTGAGGAGCCGGCTCGGGGGCGTCTGCCTGGTGCGTAGGACCCGCGGCCCGTTCCGCCGCCTCTGCCATCGTCGGGAGCGAGACTCGGCGGGCTCGGACCGGGGCTGTTTGCGCTCGCTCCCCTCGGGCCTGGCCGGCGGCCGTGACCCTTAGGGGCTTGGTGAAAACGTTAAAAAAAAACTTTTCCTGGTTAATTTTTAAAGAACAAACCAGTAAGTGACGTGCATCGTGGAGGGGCTGGCTTTTGTGGGGAATCTGGCTGGGGGCGGCGGCGTCTCTTCCCGACCACCGAGCGTGTGTTCGGCTCCCAGATGAGGGCTTCAGGGGGATCCCAGAAAGGTGGTCGGTGCTCCCCCAGGCGGTTCGCCGAGCTTGAGTCCATCAATGATGCCACCTGGCCGATCCATCTCGTTGGAGGTCTTCCTCTTTTTCTCTGACCCTCCACCCTACCCAGCATGACATCCTTCTCCAACGATTGTTTCCTCCGGACAATATGTCCAAAGTAGGAGAGACGAAGCTTAGCCATCCTGGCCTCCAAGGAGCACTCTGGCTGCACTTCTTCCAAAACAGATCTATTGGTTCTTTTGGCAGTCCATGGCACTTTCAGTATTCTCCTCCAACACCACAACTCAAAGGCATCAATTCTTCTACGATCCTCTTTATTCACTGTCCAGCTTTCGCATCCATATGAGGCTATTGAAAACACAATGGCCTGGGTCAGGCGCACCCTAGTCCTCAAGCTGACATCTCTGCTCTTCAACACTTTAAAAAGTTCCTGTGCAGCAGATTTGCCCAGTGCAATACGTCGTCTGATCTCTTGACTGCTGCTTCCGCGAGTGTTGATAGTTGATCCAAGAAGAATGAAGTCCTTGACAACTTCAATCTTTTCTCCATTGATAAGAATGTTGTTTATTGGTCCAGTGGTGAGGATTTTTGTTTTCTTGACATTGAGATGCAATCCATATCGAAGGCTGTGCTCTTTAATCTTCATAAGTAAATGTTTCAAGTCCTCTTCACTTTCAGCGATCAAGGTTGTATCATCGGCATATCGCAGGTTGTTAATGAGTCTTCCTCCAATCCTGATGCCATGTTTTTCTTCATAGAACCCAGCTTCTCGTATTATTTGCTCAGCATACAGGTTGAATAAGTATGGTGAAGCATATATACCAGGCACACACCATTTCTGATTTTGAACTATTCTGTATCACCTTGCCATGTTCAAACAACTGCCTCTTGGTCTGTGTACTGGTTTCTCATGAGCATGATTAATTTTTCTATGGGAACCGACTTGACAGCACTTCACAGCAACACAATAACAACAGCCTGTTCTTTGCAGTCATTCTGTGGGAATGAAATGGTACTGTAGTGGTTTTAACATGCTTCCCTGTTGTTTAATGATGCTGAGCATCTCTTCATGTATTTGGTTCCATTTGTCCAGTTGGCGAAATGTCTGTACAAGTCCTTTGTCCGTTTTATGATTAGGTTATTTGTCTTTTTGTTAAGTGGCTGAAGTGATATATGTATGTGTGTGTGGGCTTCAGGAATTTCGTGTAAAAATTAATGTGTCTTTTCCATTTTTCCATGAACGTTTTGAAGTCATCTTGTATCTTGGTTATTAGAATCCTGTCAAATATATTGTTTCCGAAAATACCCTCCCAATTGGTAGCTTATTTTTCACCTTTTTGGTAATGTTTTCGGATAAATGTAAGTTTTCAATTTTCCTTAGGTTCTGTTTTATCAGTTTTGTCTGTTACTGCGTGTACATTTTCTGGCCTGGTAGGTAATCCATTATTGGAAGTTGGTCTGACAGCTTTGTACCTGGTTGGTGTTCTAAGAGTTTGATGGTTTTAGTTTGTTTCAGTGGTCTTCCATCATTTTGAATTTGTTGTTGTAGATGGTGTGAGGCATGGGTCCTGTTTTACTTTTTCTGCATTTGGCAATCCCATTCTCTAGGATCATTTATTGAACATGAAGAGGCCCTTCTTTCCTCATTGAGTGGGCCCTAGAACCTTGGTCAGAAATCAGTTGTGGCTTCGTTTCTAGACTCTCAGTTCTGTTCCGTTGGTCTGTGTGTCTATTGCTGTCCCCTTCCCAGACGATTTTCATTACTGTAGCTGTGGCGCAGAGTCCTGGTGTGGTGCTGTAGGATAAGCACTCGACTGCAACTGGGTTTGAACTGCAAGGTCGGCCATTCAAACTCACCAGCTGAGCCTCAGAAACACTATACAGTGTTGATATGAGTCGGAACCAACGCCACGGCACTCAACAACAGGTGTATAACTGTTTCCTTGGGTCGAACCCGAATTATAGTGAACCTATGTAGGATTTCTGAGATTGTAGACCGCCTCATCTTTCCCCTGGTGGGTTTGAGCTGCCAACCTTGTGATTAACAGCCTAATCCATAGTACCACCAGGCCTCCTTGTAGTTGTATTTTGTTGAGAGCTGTTCGTTGGTTCCATTCATGGTGACACTGTATAGGGTTTCCAAGGCATAGCTGGTGGGTTTGAACCTTTGACCTTGTAGCTGTATTGTTGTTAAGTGCTGTTGAGCCCGTTGAATCAGTTCTGACTCAGCGACCCAGGGTTTCTGAGGAGCAGCTGGTGGGTTTGAACTGCTGACCTTCTGGTTCGCAGCCCAGTGTTGATCCTATAACGCCATACCAGCTGTATAGTATGATTTAAAATTGGGATGGTTGAGTTCTCCTACTTTGCTCTTCTCTTTCAGTATTATTTTAGCCATTCCATATGAAATTCAGGATTGCCTTTTCTCTGAGGGCTGTTGGAATTTTGACCGGAATGGACTGGTGTTGAATCTGTAGATCACTTTGGATAGTATTGATGACATTGATGTGTTAACTGTGTGAAATCCTCTAATCTATGAGCATAGAACGGACTTCTGTTGAAGTCTCCTTTAATCTCTTCATTGTGTAAGTCCTTCGTGTCCCTGTTTAGATTTATTCTTAGGTATTTTATCCTTTTAGATGTAATTGTAAATGGCATTGTTTCCCTAATTTTCCTTTAGGATTTCTCATTGCTGACACAGAAATTGAGCTGATTTTTGAGTGTTGACCCTGTGCTATTTATTTGTAAAGTGACTTCGCTTGAAGATAATCATGCTGTCAGTATTACAGATGGATCAGTGATAGGAGATGTACACTCAGAGAAGAAACCGTTTCAGTCCGAATTTGTGCCTTTATATTTAGGAACTAAAAGTTTTCCCCCCAGCATTCTTTGGGGATGGAAGATAATACATTTCTATTAACGACCCAAGTGCTTCAAATTCTTTGTGAACTATTCAGATGTATAACATGGAAGACAGAGTTGGGGGCATCAGATGTCTCTAATCATACTGCCTTCCAGGGCCTGTTTCTGGAGGAGTGTACATACGGCCTGTGTTCATTGTCTTTGCCTCTCATTTTTAAGCTAAGTGCAGCCTAATTCATTGGAAGCAAACAGTAGAAATCTAGAGCAAAGGTCATCTAGTTAGAGAAAACAGGTCTTCCTCAGTAGTTTTGTTGCTCATATACAGTTGTTACTGCCGTTAATTTAGTTTTCTAGTTTCTTGGTTGGACATTTCCTTTCATTTTTGGTAATACTGTTAAATTTGGGTTGGAGAGTTTTAAGGGGCTGGTAATAGAGTTGTCAGACAGGATTAAGTCAGAGTAGATTATTGAATTTTGGTCATTATGAAACATTACACCCAAGTGTTCTTACTTTGTCTAAATGTCATCTATAACCTTAGAGAGACTGATATGATTTAAGAATCCTGGTGTTAAACGGTCTTCTGAATGTTGTTGGTACTGCTGAGTTGCCTTCCACTCATGACCATTGCGTGAGACAAGGAAAGGCTGCCAGGTTCGTTCTGCACTACCTCTGCTCTATCTTTCAGTTTTGTGGTGCTGCTCTGACAGAAGTAGTTCTCAAGTGGATGGCTGTAACAAAAATGGATTTTCTCACATTTTTGGAGGCTAGAAATCTCATTCAGAGCTTTGGCTTGAGGGGAACGTTCTCTGTTGGCTCTGGAAAAATGCCCTGGTCTCTTAAGCTGATCCTGCTTGCGGCCTTGGAGATCGCCATACCTTATTTCTCCTGGGCTTGCTTGCTTGCCTTTTATGTCTCCAAAGAGATGGACTCAAAACACACACTGCACTCATCCTGTATCATTAACGTTTTAAAGACAACCTTTTCCCAAATGGATTATAACTAACTGCAATGATGGTGGTGATGGTTTGTGCTTTGGAAGTCATTTCTGACTCATAGTGACCCTGCATAGGGTTTCCGAGGCCATAATTCTTTGTGGGAGCAGAAAGCCTCATCTTTCTTCCGCTGAGCAGCTGGTAGTTTCAAGCTGCTAACTGCGAGGTTAGGAACTCAGTTTGTCATCCACTATGCTATCAGAGCTCTTACAGGCAATAGAGGTTAGGATGTATTCCTGGTGTGGGAATGTACGATAAGCATTGGGTTGTGAACCACAAGGTCAGCATTTCAAACCCCTCAGCTGCTCTTCAGAAACTGTACAGGGTCACTGTGAGGTGGCATAAGACTGGCACTTTACAGAACTAACAGTAACAACACAGTTCTGCCCTTGGAGTCCTGGTGCGGCCTTGCAGGGTTGATTTGAATCAGAAGTTTGTCAGTTGAGACTCTCCGGTCTCTGAGGCAGAGCTGACTTGATAGCACTTACCAACAATAACAATTGGGTCCATAACAGTACATTTGATGCATTGTGCACTGTGTCAGTCCACTTCATTGAGGGCTGCTTTTCATTTTTTGG